TCATGCTAATACTAACAGACACACACACAAACATGCACACACTTTCTGTTTTTATCCAAGTCTTTCTTGTGGACTTCTTGTTCTTGCAATGCCTAAAACATTATTACTTCAATGCAGGCTGCAGTACAAGAGTATGAGAAGGAAAAACTTAATGAAAGGATTGCCAAATTATCTGGTGGCATAGTAGTGATACAGGTAATTTCTAGTTGAAGAAACGTTTTATGCTGTTTAGAAGGAAATTTGATCTGGGAAATTGTGTATGATATATATCTAATTTTGACGTAATGTTGTTTTGAAATTTAAAAGGCTGGAGCTCAAACTGAAACAGAGGTTAAAGAACAGAAATTGAGAGTAGAAGATGCTTTTGGTGCAACTAAGGTAATGCATCTCGTAGCTTGTCATGATGATCTTATGTTGCAATTATTATCCTTGAGTACCATATAATACTGCATATTTCATCGACTTTCAGGCAGCAGTTGAGGAAGGTATTGTTGCTGGTGGTGGATGTACTTTGCTGAGACTTGCTTCTAAGGTGGTTGCTATTAAGGATTCCGTTGGTAATGATGAAGAAAAGGCAAGCCTTGTCTTGACAACTTAAAAGAAGCTTAAACTATTTATGGGAGATTTCAGAATGTTATTGCCGATGCATGCTCTTAGTAAATATCTTGATATGCTATAGGTTGGAGCAGATGTTATTAAAAGAGCTTTGAGTTACCCTCTAAAATTGATTGCTAAGAATGCTGGGGTTACTGGAAGTTCGATTAGCGAGAAGGCATGACTTATAATTGTGTCAAGTTACCATGAGCATTACACTTCCAGGTTATTCAGTTTGCTAACAAAAGTGCTTTTTGCTTCTTTTATTTAATTATTTGCTGGTGCTCTCCGATGATAATATGAAGAATGGATTCAATGCTGCCACTGGAAAATATGAGGATCTTATGGCTGCAGGAATTATTCATCCAACCAAGGTTTGTTCCTTTATTGAGCTCTACATCTATTTTGTTGTATTTTACTCCATTTTAAATTGAATGTTCACTCTCTGCCTGTTATTATTAAATACAGTCTCTTGGTCAATAAAGGAAAATACTAACATACTTCAATTGCATATTTTACATGTAAAAATGGTTTTGTTCCAAATGATTGTTTCTCTTCTTTTATTCTTTATTCATCTTCAGGGGTTTCTAAGTGCATTCTCTTCTATTCCAATTTTCATTAATTATTTCTTTATGATATTCAAAGCACCGGTTTATTTTGGGCCACCAATATAAAATTTCTGGCGTTGCCCTATGGCTTGTTATTAAGGCAAGTTTGTTTAAGAAATATTGTCCCAACATCAATTATATTTATCACTTATAAACAAGAGAAGTTACAGAAGAAAACTGAGAAATGTTCACAATTTTCATAATTTAGGTGGTCAGATGTTGCTTGGAGCATACGGTTTCAGTGGCCAAGACTTTCTTGATGTCTGATTGTGCGGTATTGAGATAAAGGAACTTGAGCCTATGCCTTCTGACAACCCATGGATAATACAGGTCTGCATGTGAGAATTTAAAATGTTGACTAGAAATGCAACACTCTCGTTCTTTCTTTTGTACATGTTATATCTACTAACATGTTGGGTTGTCAATTATAGCATTAGGTATGCATCAATAAGTTAATGGTTTTATTGTTGTTTCTTATCCCATAGAAAATGATTAGTGGTAATATTGATCCTGAATTTATTTTTGTTTCCTTCTGTTTGTGGTTTATAAAACAATTGTGCTTGAGAATTAGAAGCACCTTATTTCAGATGTTAATTATGCATCTTTACGTTCTATTTTGGTCTCATAGAATCAACTAAGAAAGAGACAATGTTCTGTGGTCTATGAGTAACTTGACCTCGTTATTGGATTCCCTTCACATTTCTAGGAAATTTATTATCTTATTAAATGCATCTTCCTCTTGGAGCCAACTGCTTAAAACAATCACTCTTTCAAATGATGCATTCTTATTACTACTGGATTTCGAAGGCTGATTTCTCTCTTTCACTTTGAAGTTGTATAAAGTAAGAATCTTTCTTCTTCTGGCTAAATATGCTGGTAAACTTGTACTGTACTTTCTTGAATGCATTGTGTTGTGTGGTTAAGCTTGCTTGAATATGCTCTACTATTGAGTTTATATGGAATTTGCTACTATGAGATCTGAAAGTTGCAACTAATAAAATTATAAAGGGATGAGGATGTATCCTACTCTTATAAATGTGTAATTTGCCATACGAAATTTGCTACTATGACATATATGTTTCTCTGCTGTTGATTGATTTAGCAAGAATGTGAAATTACTGCTGTGAATGGACTAGATAAATTGACAATTGACATTCCCTTTGCATTCCCCATTTTTTTTAACTATCAATATCAAGATCCTACAACTACGTGCAGAACATGATTGGGCCTTTCCCTCATTGATTGTTGATATAAATGATGATCTGAGCCAAAATGATGAGAAAGAGATTGATGTAAGTTCTGAGTTCAAAGAATAAGTAATTATGAGGATTTTATATATATATTTTTTTCATATTTGTTCTTTATTAAGTGGATAATAATTTGTTGCTGCTTGTCTATGATAACTTTATGCAAAGTAGAAAAGCTTATGAAGAAAACACCCAAAATAAAAGCGATCCAAAGCTTGGACCTGATGCTTGCCAAACCCATTGTTTAGTGATCCCTTTTTATATGAATTTGGTTGTATTAACACCATCTACCTTGAGGCTTTATGGCTCTTTAGCTAGATGCCTGTGCCACATGAAGCTTTGGAATTGTAGGGGCCTTAATGAAAAAACCTAGGGGCCACTCAGAGGATTGATGGTTTATCCTTCATGGTTGCCTGCCTGCCTACTTGTTGTTTGTGGAATGGGAGTTCTACATCTGCCATTGTTAGTAATTAATTGGTTGTTCGAAGACACATACCCAGTTGATTATATTCTCTTTAGGTTTTCTTCTTTTATCTTAGGTGTCATTTAAGATCTGAAGTTTATCTACAAGTATTATAACATACATGTATGATTCTCCACCTCAACCTTGTTTTATCTGATGTCCTGATCTGATAGAATGTGACAATTCACATTTTAACACATTTGTAATTAACTCGTAATACCATTAGTTTGTAACAAAGATGAAACCAATGACTTAGTATGAAATAGTATTGAGCAATTCACCCTTAATTGGAACAATTTGCATATTTTGATTAGTACTAGTACTAGAGCTGCTTATTTCTTACAACTGATGCCCTTTGTTGATGCAAAATGAGCTTAAAAGGTTGGTGGCTTGTAGGAGGTTACTTACGCACACTTGTCCAACTCTTGGAAAATGCTTTCTTGTTTTTCTGCTAGCACATGTTTCTAAACCCATGCTTATTTTAATTTTTATGTGGACACATATTCATCACTAATGCTTGGACTGTATCCAAAATAGGATTAAATTAAACCATGTCATTTCTACTTAAACCATCAATTTCAAGAATTACGGGGTCTTCCAACATAACCTCCAACTTTTATATGCATATATTGAAGTGCTAAATTGTTCACAATTTTCAAATAGGTAACATGATTGCACTAACACCATACTTATTTTAATTTTTGTTATAACATGTAAGTGATAGAATTAATTCATTGGACACAACACATGAACTTGTCATTAATCTTTTTTATTTTAGTATGGTTGGTCCTCTAAGTGAATTTATCATTTTTAAAGAAATCTTAAGCTTGACAAAATGTCTTTTAAAAAATAAGTTATAATCTTTTAAATAGAATTAGATATGAAATTTTGATTACATATAAAGAAGGTTATAACACTTTCATAGTGCCTATCTTAAAATGGTATCAATTAACCTTAAGTTATCTTATCTAACCTTTTATTAACATAGTTTTAGCTTATTCTTATTATTTATTATTTATTAATTAATTATTAATTTTGATATTTAAATATTAAAAATATTTTTACATATTCATCGACCTCCAAAAATATTCTTCATTTTAAGAATATCCAAGTAATATGTCAATTTCTTTAAAAAAGTTTCATCGTTAGATTTATTAAATATTTTATTAAAAAAAAGTACATATAAATATATGATAACATAGTCAAATTTATAATAATCAAATATATAATTAAATTCAAATTTTAGTACATGTAATCACGATATATCCAATAACTAATCTTGCAAAAAAATCAAATCATCACATTTATTTCTAATTTTATTTTTTCTTAAATTAAAAATAAATATAAATTAATATAAATAGACCAATTTATAAATCTTTCAACATCTTGATCAAATTTTAAAAAAGTTATTTCACCTAAATTTTTTTTAAAAAATTACATATCCATAACTTTATTAGGATTTTAGCATTAGTTGAAATTTCATTTATTCCTAATTATTTTATATTTTACAAATTAAACAAATATCAAAAAATACTTTAAACATTAAAACAAATAAATAAATTAATCAAAACAAATGAAGATACATAAATTAACCAAATATAAATAAATAAATAATCAAAATAATAAAATAAAAATAAATAAATAAATCAAAAGTAGAAGACAAAGACAAGCAGAACGAGTTAGACTTACCTTTGGGTCTACATGTGGTCTAGTCGGGTTAGACCATTGGTCTACAAAATTTTTAAACCTAAAATGTTATAGGAGTATTTAAAGCTTTCTCATTGTTCTCACTCTCCCTCTTCCCTTTTCTTTCTCTACTTTCTTTCTAAAAGACTTTGGATACCAGTCGGAAAACCTAACACAACTCAAATTCTAAAGAAATTCTCAAAATTCAATAATACATTCTAGAAAACCTAGAAAAACCCAAACCTAGAAAATTTCAAAAAAGAAAAAAACCTTTAAAAACCCAAAAAAACTCTAAACCCAAATTTTGATTTCTTTTTTTGTTTCTTTATATCAGAACTTTCTAAATCACACCCAATCTTAAAATCAAACTAAGGAATTTACTTCTAAAATTAAAAAAGAAGAAAGACTACTATAAATTTTTTTACTTTATTTCTCTTCTCTGTTGATTGTTGATTCTCCTTTGTACTTGATTTAGATTCTTTAAATAGGCATTCACTCTTAACCTAAAAGAACAAGAACTCTAACAATTTCTTTCTCACTAGAATTCAGTCTAAGAATTCAACTCCAATTCTTATTAATTTTTTTTCCAAAAATGAGACTAAATGCACTAGCCAAGTATTTGAATCCTATTGAACATAATAATTTCAATCCAACATTTTTTTAGGAATTTTAATCATTTTCCAATTCCTTTTTTTTTTAATTTAGGACAATTTTCTTTTTTTTTTAAATACAATAAATAAATAAAAATCAAACAATCAAAATACAAATAAAAAATCAAAAATAAAATAAAAATAAAATCTTAAAACCTAATCCTAAAATACAAATTGAACTCTAGACTAAATAGGATGCTTACAGTTTCCCTCTTTACACATTTCTGTGAAATAGGTTTTGTACGAAAATATAAATAACCATTATGTCTAGATCCTAATCTACCCAAACAAATTTTTTTTCAAAAAAGGCTCCTTTAATAAAGGTTCAACAACTTCAAAAAATATAAAAGACTCCTCTCATCAAAGATTCAACTACTTCGAACACATAAAAGGCTTACCTTAACCGAGGTTTACCAGCTTTTCTTGAAATCATCTTTCAAACTTTCCCTCAATTGAATATTAAAATTCATCTTCACAAGATCCTCTTCATATGAGAATCAAAATCTTATCAAAAGGTTTTATCTTTGCTAAAATTTTCCTCAATCGGGGATCAATACCTTACTCGTTCTTTTGGAAAATTTCCCAATCAAGAATCAAATCTTTATCTTCAAAAATTATCCTTCACCTAAGATTAAATTCTCTTTTCTTTTTTTTTAAAAAATTATCTTCAAGTAAAAATATTTCACACTTTCTTTAATCTCAATTTCAAGATCCAAGACCACAATTTCTTATCAAACAAATGCCATGAATGCAATGCTATGAATGTAATGTCATGAATGCAGCTTTAATTTTGGCAA